ATGTCCCCAATGTCCCCAGGTGCTCAGTAACAGTAACCAGCTGTACCTGAAGGCGGTGACACCCCCAATGTCCCCAATGTCCCCGATGTCCCCGATGTCCCCAATGTCCCCAATGTCCCCAATGTCCCCAATGTCCCCACTGTCCCCACTGTCCCCACTGTCCCCAATGTCCCCAATGTCCCCAATGTCCCCAGGTGCTCAGTAACAGTAACCAGCTGTACCTGAAGGCTGTCACTCACAATGTCCCCACTGTCCCCAATGTCCCCAATGTCCCCAATGTCCCCAGGTGCTCAGTAACAGTAACCAGCTGTACCTGAAGGCGGTCACTCAGGCCGACGCCGGCCGTTACGTCTGCAAGGCCATCGTGCCCCGGATCGGCGTGGCCGAGAGGGAGGTGGCCCTGTTTGTCAACGGTCAGTGATCCTTAAAACCCCAGAAATACCTCAAAACCACAGAAAATACCCTGAAAACCCCAGAAAATACCCCAAAACCCCTGAAAATACCCCAAAACCCCAGAAAATACCAAAAAACCCCTGAAAGCACACCCAAAACCCCTGAAAATAACCCAAAACCCCATCAAATCCCCCCAAAAGTCCATTAAACTACCCCAAAATCCATAGAACCTCCCCAAAATCTCACCAAATGCCTCCAAACCCCATAAAAGCCCCCAAACACCATAAAATTCCCCCATAGCACCAGAAAATCTGGCTGTGACCACCCAAAATCTGACTGTGACCCCCCAAAATTTCCCCAAATCCACCCAAATTTCCCCAAAATCCCCCACAAATATCCCCAAAATCCCCGCTTTCCCCCATTTTTAGGGCCCCCGATCATCTCGAGCGAGCCGGTGCAGTTCGGGGTGACCGCAGCTCCAACAATTCGCTCCCAACACCCTAATTCCCGAAATTTCCCAAAATTCACCCCAAATCCATCCAAATTTCCCCAAAACCCCAGAAAATACCCCAAAATCCCCATTTTTCCCCGTTTTTAGGGCCCCCCATCATCTCGAGCGAGCCGGTGACCACAGCTCCATCAATCTCCTCCCATACCCCATAAAACCCCATAAAACCCCAAATCCACCCAAAATTTCCCCAAATCCACCCAAATTTGCCCAAAATCCACTCCAAAATTCCCCAAAATTCCCATTTTTCCCCGTTTTCAGGGCCCCCCATCATCTCGAGCGAGCCGGTGCAGTTCGGGGTGACCGCGGCTCCGACAATCTCATCCCAAACCCCCTAAATCCCAAAATCCCTTCACAATCACCCAAAATCCACTCGAAATCCCCACAAAATTCCCCAAAATCCCCGTTTTTCCCCGTTTTCAGGGCCCCCGATCATCTCGAGCGAGCCGGTGCAGTTCGCGGCGCGCGGCGACCGCGGCAAGGTCGAGTGTTTCATCGGCAGCACGCCGCCCCCCGACCGCATCGTGAGTCACCCCAAAATCACTAAGATTTGGGG